GTCTAGAGCACAGAAAGTATCATATTTATTTCAGTCTACCAATTGACGTGAAACTAGAAGCATCTAAATTTTTTTAACTTTGCTCGAATTGGGAAAAAAAATGAAGTCTGAAGTAGCTGTGCTCTTGGAGTTCCTAAAATCTCCCGCTCTGACTCTGACGAAATTCACCGAACAAGAATTGCAGTACATTCCCGTAGAATGTCTCATTGATTCTTGTGGGTCCTTGTGGGTTATTAAGGGTGTGGCACAAACTTCCCAATGAATATCGCTGCAACTTTAACCTACAAATCAAGCTGCCATGCTTTGTTCATTATAATCGTCCCGATTGGACTACACACTGGGATGGACCACCATCTTCCCAAGAAACTTGCCATTACTGTAGAAAAGCATTACTATAAAATAAATTAATTCGATAATATTCTATTGTTTTTTATCATTCTTGCACTCCATACATCATATCTCGAATGCCATCTGCCATACGTCATTTTTTCTCCTAACAAGGTTCTGATGTGTGAAAACGGAGCAATATCCGATTTTTTCAAACGTCCGACAACGATGTAGCGCACCGCGCGCAACGTCCGACAACCCTGCACTGTCGCATCTATCGCTTGCTGCTCTGCTAGCGGTCTGCCGGTCGGCGTGAATGCCGTCGCTCTGCGTATTACACTTTCAACTCGTAACAAATTCTGTCTAGTGGTATAGCGCTATGGTAGCGTATCGGGCTCTCAGTCCGTTGGCCGGGGATCGAATCCCCGAGTTGTGACACCAGCTTTTTTTATTTAATTCCAAATTCAGATTGAAACAAAATTACGTCACGAAAAATATTATAAATACAAACCATCCAGTATTTGAATTTGCCGCCGCCCGTAATACAGCGAACATTCGCAGCGACACTAGCGACACCACGACATCTGGTGAGCTTTTGCGGCGGCACTGCGCGTCAACCGGCCTAGCTGTACTACTAACGGAGATATTGATTTTTTTCAAAATTTATAACTTCACTTTCAAAGCCTATAACTCCCTAGGGAAGCAACTTGGTATAGAGGTAAGTTGCGTTAAGTTGCCATATTTTCGGACCTCCTATATGCCCCTGCTCTATATAGGTTCTTATGTGAATCACCCTGTATATAAAATATACTATAACTTTCGAAACAGTTTCAAAGGAAATCTTTCTAGGTGAGGTTGCAGTCAAAATTTTGGCCTCAATGAGAGGACTCTTTGTTACTTAGCCGAGCTTTCGGAAATGTTTATTTCCTTTATCAAGACATCTATAAAAAATGGGTAAGTGAAAAAACTTTGTCAATAATACATTTGAAAAAAGTACTTACTAACAAGTAAGTACGTTAGTAAGTACTTTTTTTGAATGTATTATTGACAAGGTTTTTTCACTTACCCATTTTTTATAGATGTCTTGATAAAGGAAATAAATTTTTCCTCTCATTAAGGCCAACATTTTGACTGCAACCTCACCCAGAAAGATTTCCTTTGGAACTGTTTCTAAAGTTATAGTATATTTTACCTTAACTAGTCAGTCACGACTACCCTCCTCCTAACATATATATATATAAATATAATCATATGGAAAACTTGATTTTGTGCGGCGACTATAACTGTTTAGTTGATCAGCAAGATTGTAACAGTCCAAACTATAGTAGTAAATCAAGTCTGAAACAAGCAATCAATGCTCTCGACTTTGTCGATGTATGGCATAGTACATTTCCTAATAATAAGGGATACACATATATCCACTGTAATACCGCGACTAGACTAGATATATTCTATATTTCCAGAACCTGTGTTGATATTGTGAGGGAATCTGAAATTAAACCCGCGCCTTTACCAGATCATAGAGCCATTACCATATTTGTCAAACAAAAACTTAAGGATACTGAACCATTTTACAAAAGAAAAAGCTTGTGGAAACTGAATGTACAGTACTTCTTGATTAGGAAATAAATGAACTTTTTAGAATAAATTGGGATAATTGGAAAAATATAAGAGTAGGTTCACCACTCGTATAGAATGGTGGTATATTTATGTAAAGCCGAAAATACAAATCTTCTTGAAGTGGAGATCTGAAGTGGTTAATCTGGAGAAAAAGGGTCAAAAAATATAACTATATATGTCATGTTGCCAAGTTTTGATGAATGGACAGAATTTCAATAGTCAAATCTTCAGCGAATTAAATAAATATAAAGAGCTTTTATTGAAAAAACAAAAATTCTATTGGAAGGTGTGAAAATACGAAGTAAAAAATATGATTTTATCGAAGATGAATCAACCACTGTTCTTTACATAATGGGATAGAGAATTATTATCAAGAATAAAAAAAAAATGAAAGAAATAAACCATGAGGGAGACAAATAACAAGGAAAGGAACAGGTGAGGGATGCATTTCATAAGTTTTTGTCTGAGATTTATACAGAGAATACAAAATTAGAATTAGCTGATTATTCACCAAATGATAGTGTTAGAACATTTTCAGAGAAACTATACTAAGAATGAATCACCAGGACCTGATGGTCTCACAACCGAATTCTATTCACATTTTTGGGAAATAATCAAGGAAGAATTCATTTATATTCTGAATGAAATCAACGATGGAATTACTATTCCATAAACATTTAAGGAAGGTATGATAGTTTCAATTTCAAAATGGAATGTAGCAAAAGATGTAAGTCAATTATTTAGGCCCATATCACTGCTGAAAATTCGATTGTATAATAATTTCCATGAAGTAGTTTCTGCATAACAAATTTGCGTGTCTGAATTAAAAATATGACACTACACACTCTGAATGAACTAACCTGTCTATTTTGTCAAATTGTTCGAGAAGACTACACTTCTGATTCCAAACAAACTAACATATCTATTTTTTCAAGTTTTCTGAGGACGACATATTGAACAAAAAATATGAATACTACCATGAAGAAGATTTTTCACCGATTCTCCCATCTTCGAGCGATCTTATCGTGTTGAACCGTTACACAAACAGAAAGGGTATTATTTTACCTAAAAACGTTTGACATTTCGCATTTATCTCAAAACTGTCCCAAATCTCATCTGGCAGTTGTGTGTATGAAGTAGCCATGTATGTAGTTCAAAGGTACCTATTCTCTTCGAACAATTTTAGTCAAAATTTCATTTTGTAAATAGATACATTCACTAAGTATTTATAAATATAGAAAAAAACGATGGAACTATATTTTCAAGTTTTAAACACTGTAACCACTGATATTCGATTTGTTTGACTTGTAAAGTTGTTCATAGAAGATCTTCGAGATATAGGTATTTCAAACACTCGTTATAAGTATAGGAATATAAGAACGAATTAAGAGACACCTGAATATATAATCGATTCTTATTTCAAGAAGCATTATCCCACATTTTTGTACAGTATGATGATTTATCTGAGTTTTACTGGTTCAATATAATAATTGTAACATATACGTCGATAAGACAGTCAATACAAGAGTACATATAACATAGGCATATCAATGAGGAATTATTTTGTCAACTCTCATATGAATCAATTGAAAGTTTGTTTCATTTATGTTCTATTCGTACCCACTAAGTCTTACCAATACAATAATCTACAAAAAATCTAATTTACCTAGAGAATAACCTAATCTTTGGGAATGAATAATATTTCAGGTGAAATAACTGGCAAATGTATTCTATAGTTCTTCAATGTAAGGGTTTTCTAGATAATTTATTATCAAAATGTATATCCCGCAGACTTTGGAATTTATAACATCTGTTTCATAAACTATTTTGGAAAACACAAAGTCCCTCAGGGGCTCACGACTTGTGAGTACGGGAATGGCAATCCCGAGGTACCCTAGCCGGATACTCATTAATCTTCAACTTGTCTTTGATGGTATCCTCTTCACTCTTCAGCTTCCAATCTTTTTCTTCATCGGCCTCCCTTGGTCACTTCTCCTCTTTTCCTTCTCCCCTAAAGCCCAACCTCACCATTGTGCGGGGAGGACAAGCCGCGGCTGCTCGGCAGATTGAGCATTTTGGGAACATCTTTGCTATCATCACTCAGATGGGACAGTTTTGTGGACATCTGAGTGCGAGGATGGGGCAATTTGTGAAAATCTGCTTATGTGGCCGCGGATTGATAACGAGGCTCTGGCGATCCCCTCAGGGGCTCACAACTTGTGAGTACGGGAATGGTGAACCCGAGGTACCCTAGCCGGATATTCACCATACTTCAACTCGTCTTAGGTGATATCCTCTTCTCTCTCCCATTTTCAATCTTTCTATCGGCCTTTCTTGGCCAACTTCTCTCTTCCTCTTCCCCTCCAAGCCCAACCTCACCATCAAGTGGTGTGGGGAGGACAGACCGCGGCCGCTCGACGGATGAAGCATTTCGGGACCATCTTTGCTATCTCTGGACTAGATGGGACAATTTGTGGACATCTGTGGCAGGGATGGGGCGATTTGCTGATGTTTGTCTAGGTGGTCGAGGACTGGTCAACGAGGCTCTGGCAACCTAATCCAAGCTGTGGGAACCCGTGGCGATGGATGGATGGCACCGAGGAATGGTGTCGCTAACGGGGCCTCTGGGAAACAGGGCGACATCCCAGAGTAAACAGCCTTAGCCCTGTGCAGGGGGCACCACAGGGCTGGACCAACCCCTTCCCCCGTCACTCGTAGGAGAAGGAAAACTTTTGGCCTTCTTCGTAGACGAGAACAGGGAGCGGAAGAGCAATCTTCAGGAACCTGAACGAAAAGGGTCTTTCATATTGAAGTGTCCCTTAATAGGCACCATGAGTCGTATGTGGTAAAATTGATAACGGCATGTAGGTGAGATACAATGGGCCACTAGGCCTAAGTGTCGTCGGAGCCTACAACGGGGTGGAGTGTTTAGTGGGTATACCATGGAGGGGACTCCCACACTATCATATGGGGGATTGGACCCATATGATGTCTATAAAAGATTTCAACCACCTCGGCGAAAAAAAAAAAAAAAAAAAAAAAAAAAAAATATCCCGCAGACTTTGGAATTTATAACATCTGTTTCATAAACTATTTTGGAAAACACAAAGTATCCTATCAGCCTATATAGATATATATAAATAATAAAAGTTGCCAACTGGAATAATTATCCATTTTCTATTGTTCATCGGCATGCCTGCATGTGCAACCATCAGCTGGTAGCTGCTCGTTCTCTCGCTTTCTCTCTTGTTTGTCGAATTCATCTTCATTTAGTCGCGATGAATAATCAATTTGAAATGTCAACGTGTCAAATCAATTATTGTAAGTCAAATAAAAACAAACAACTGCGTCTTTTTGCTTATATTCACGAATTGGTGAAGGGGCATTCAAAGTGGCACACGCTGAATATTCAGTAAAAACTGGGTACAAAATAATGATGTTTATCATGGGTAAATCAATGACGATGATAGTATAGTTGATTCAAAAACAATTGCAGAGTCTCGTGCCGCACCGGCACTAACTTTAAAGGGAACTTCAAACCCGCAAAAGCCGCTGGATGCGGAATATTCTGCAATTGATTATGGATATTATACTTTAACAGTTTTGGTCAGTGGGGAGAAATATGTCTCACTGAAGGGCCATTCACATAGAAATATAACATTTTCAGATTATTTTAATCTAAAACTGTATTTACCTTAGGACCTAAGTATACCAATAACAAAATTATAAGAAAGTTTGTGAACTGCCAGATTTCTTTTCCAATTCTTGATTCATGTTCTCTAATTCTTTAAAAACTAGATGTAAAATTCCGCAAAAATCCTCGAAATTGTATCAAGAAAACTAGAAAACCCATATTATTTGAATACATTTCATTTAAACATGTTACAATGAACAAACTAAAGATTATATGTCAACTATTAGTTCTTCGATTCTTCAATCTGCCAACGTTCGTTGGCACTTTCGAGTACACATAAACATTCCTACTCAACCAATGTAAGTACAAATACAGCAATTCTAAGAACACAATTAAAACATTCACTATGCATATAGTCATAATGAGAGCACTTAGCACTTTATTCACTTCCATACAGCTCAAGTCTACGTAGTGGTAACTTCTAGTAAAAATTGATTGGTCTGTTGAATTGTTCCTACATATACAGGTTGTGTTGAGGTTATCTGGAGGTGAGCAATCGAGTACATTGAGGGCGATGAGGTGAATGAGCGAGAAGAAGAAGACCATTATGGAGGCGATTGTTGCCATGATACTGGAGGTGACAGAAATATACTGAAAAAAAAAACAGAAATATGACACGAAAATAATATTTCATTTCACAGGGTGTCCCTCCGGGAACTGCATCGATCAATATATAGAAAACAATAGGTGGTCCGAATTTGAAAATCTGAGAGTTCGCTATTGTTAATAAGTACTATCCGGCTGAAATATTTTGAAGATTGTGGCACTTCCGGTTGTACCGGAAGTGGACCCCAACTTCGTTATTTTAAATAGGACGCCCTGTATATTATCAAGGTTTTAGATTTAACGCATGATTCTGAACATGTTTCATGCATAATGTCCCATAGCCAGTCTAACCGTTTTCGAAATATTTCAAATTTTAAGTTGAAAACTGCGTTTGCAGACCGAAAAATATCTTTTTTTATTTCTGGACATGATCATTAATTTTCGATTGTGTATCGATTTATTCGTAGGAGAGGACCCAGTTTAGTAGAATTTCGATATCGATTCGATTACAGTTATACAGGGCGTTCACCAATGAAGATCTTGCTGAAATCACAGCCTGGGGAACGAACAACCTAGTTGAATTCAACGCCACCAAAACTCAAGCCTGCATTTTCTCTAGAAAGGCGGAACTCAGTATGCCCGATATTGTAATGTCTGGCTCCACCATCCCCACCAAGCCCACCATATCTATGCTCGGTATTTCCATCAGCAACACTCTTTCATGGGATAATCATGTCAGATCCATCGCAAAAGCTGCTTCACAAAAACTCGGATTCTTGTTCCGTGCGAAAAGCTACTTTACACCTCAACAGCTTCTCATGATCTACAAAGCGCAGATACGGCCTGTTCTAGAATACTGTTCCCACATATGGGGTTCAGCACCAAAACATACGCTGATGCTCTTAGATTCCATCCAGAGAAGAGCCATTCGCCTGGTGGGTGACGCCACACTCACTCACTCTTTGACATCATTGGAACATCGTAGAAAGGTCGGCGACCTTTCACTTTTCTATCGATACTTCCACGGGAAATGTTCTTCGGAAATATCTGCAATCATCCCTTCACTAGCAATACCAATCAGACGAACTAGACAAGCCCAGTCAGCACATCCTTTCGTTGTCAACCTCGAAAGATGTCGAACAGCACTTTATCAAGACTCCTTCATCCATAGAACGGCTAGGCTCTGGAATGCATTGCCTGTGGAAGTATTCCCAACAACATATAATCTCCAAAAGTTCAAAAAAAAATCCAATACCTACCTCCTGTCCCTATCCTCCCTAGGAACGCACGATGTTCTTTGAACATTATAGGGATTCCCTTTCGTGCGCTCCAATCGATAAAAAAAAAAAAAAAAAAAAATTATTGTAAGTAATTTTTTTCTAATGGAAATCCCATAATTCAAACGAGTCGGCATGATTGATTACAATGACATTTCCGTGGCGGTTGATTGTTTCCAATGCAACTGCGGGCGCCATGGCCAACTAAGCATAAGTAAACTCAAGAATACGAGATTTTCTGGAACTGAGACATGTTAATTCGCCAATATTTCGAAAACTGTTGAGTGTAGGCATAGATTAACTCATTCAAAGTTAACTTCATTTTCGATGCCGAATCGAATGAGAATATGAAATTGGGGGGGTTTCCATTCGAAAAAATTGACTTAAAATAATTTTTTCAACCGGATCCGTATCATTTTCTGGTGAACGCCCTGAATAACTGTAATAGAATTGATGTCGAAATTCTGCTGAACTGGGTCCTCTCCTACGAATAAATCGATACACAATTGAAAATCAATGATCATGTCCAGAAATAAAAAAAAATATTTTTCGGTCTGCAAACGAAGTTTTCAACTTAAAGTTTGAAATATTTTGAAAACGGTTAGACTTGGCTATAGGAGATTATACATGAAACATGTTCAGAATCATGCGTAAAATCTAAAACCTTGATAATATACAGGATGTCTTATTTAAAATAACGACAATCTTCAAAATATTTTAGCCAGATAGCACTTATCAACGATAGTGAACTTCCAAATTTTCAAATCCGGCCCTTATTTGTTTTCTATATATTGATCGATGCAGTTCCCGGAGGGACACCCTGTATAGAAGTAACAGCTTTTAGGATTTGAAAAGCTTTCTGTTAGATAACTCATCATTCAGGTTTTGTAATTTAATGAATAATTTGCGATTTAAACTTCTGTTGGTTGTATTGATATTAGGCATGGGCAAAAAGAATATCCACAGAATTAACTTATTTTACTCGAATGCCGCACAGTCTAGACTGGCGAGACCTCGAATTGTCTAGATGTGCGCCGAAGAGGGTACTCAAAGAAATAGTTTGAGAGCTCGTTGCTAGCACAGAACTCATAATCTTTATGTATTACGACTAGAACGCGCGATCCTATATGGTTTCATGACAAATTTTTGAACAAAACATTGACATTGAAATATGTGTCAAATTATACTAATCTCAGACTAACGTGGCTGTGGTAATACAGGAGAGGAGAGAAACTACTGAGACGTAGGTCATGCATTTTCATGGGTTTGTTGCCAGTTTTATTTGCTGCCACTTGTGACTGCTTGTCATTGAATTTATTTCCGAAAAGTCAAAAATATTAGATCTTTGGTAATATCAATATTATACTTGGTTATTGTGATGAAGTGATATGTTCAAGACTGCATAACTCCTTGTTGTACGTGAGGGCGAAGTAAAAAGGCGAAGTATAAGTACCTATCTAAAATACTTCTGATGCCTATCTGTACCTATGACATAAGATGTACCTACTCGAGGTTTCTTAAATCCAATTACAAAGAATGGTCTTTGGATACATTCAAACTTGGAATGTCCATCATCTGAACATCTGTTCAATTAATTTCACAGAGGATGATGGTTTTCTTCTGACTGAATTCGGGGTGAGATTTTATGACTAACTCAAAACCGACATTATATCTTGATTCTCGTATTCAGTTGAAGCTGTTGAAAACCCTATCCCCGAATTTCCAAATGATGTTTTAAGATTTGAAATGAACTCAGTGATTTGAAACAGTGGAATACGATACTTATTTACTATCAACTATCTACTATGATGATTGAATATGTTATGAAATATGCGAAAATAATATGAAAGATGCCTTATTTTAAATAATATATTCTATATTTCTGCAGTGAATTCCATTCTCAAAAACTAAGATCAGACATGTAGAGTGCAAAACAATGAGCAGAATATTTATTTACTCATATCATCCAAATTTCTTATTGGAGTTCTATAGTAATCTTCTGATTTTCCGAAAATTCATATGACACCTTCATCCCATCTTCGAAATACGCCATTATGGCGTCCATTTACATTTTGCCACAAATTTTATGCATGATTTGTTCGTCCGCCATATTGGATACGCTGTCTAGTCGTAAAAGATATAAAGATTATGAGTTCTGTGGTTGCTTGTCATCTATAGTGGACCTTGGATCAAGAAGATTCGAAATTTGAGATTCGTCAGTAGTTGTGAATGTAAGTAATTCGTTGAAAATCACATCAGTAGGTACCTGGTTGTCTCAATTCATGAACCGAAAACGAGAGATTTTTATTTCAGAAATGTAATGCATTTTATTATCATCACACTTTTGTTAACTCGCGTCCTTGTCTTTCTGCCTCTTCGGTACCAGTTTCAAACACAGATTTTTCAAAACTAAGATGAGGAACAATTTCGTTATTTCTTATCTGATTCACCTAAAAATATGAATCTGAGGGTTCCTGTGGTCTAGGAAAACTAATTTCTATGTATTCATGATTCGGAAATTCAAGATTTCAAACAGAAGGTAATTGACATAAAAAAAGGTAGCCCCGAATTCCATTTCAAAATTCGTGACTACCTCTCTAGGTCGTACTTATACTATTTAATTTCATTTGTGTAATATAAATTACCTTGACTGAATTGGAAAAGTATCCTAATTTCCAGTTCGGATGCTCTTTGAGGCAGCAAATGAGGTAGAATATTCCGACGAATCCGGAAAATATTACCTGTGACAAAATGAGACATATTGTAATTAGGTAGGTACTATCAAAACGGGATAAATTGGATGGGGATAAATATATAGTGTTAATCGTATCCAATCTTTTGTGAGATACTGAAATTCACAGCAGCGAAAGAGATAGCGAGATAGCTAAGATACACTCAACGATCAATTGGGGTCATCTTCAGTGCTCGCCAGCAGCCATATCAGATCGTCATCACTATTCCCTGTAAAATGATATTAATTGGTGAGATAGGTTGTAGGTGAATATTTTTTTATTCCAAATCAGAACATCAAATTCACTACCGATAGAATGTTTCCTCAAAATTATCCGTTCCGTAAAAAATTCAAGTACTTTTGAAGTACCTATATAATCACAGAGGTGAAACAAAATTGGATTCATCAGAATTGGATTCATCAGAATTGGAATTTTTTGAGGGAACAATTTGTACCAATCATCGATAGTGACTTCGATGGAGAATCCAGAGAGCGATCTGGTGGTCAATAGAAATATTTATAACCCAGCCCTCATTGTGCTACATATTTTGTAATTGATTTTAACAATCTTATACTCACAGGAACGGCACTCCAATAAGGGTTATCCCTTTTTCTAATATTCGGTGACCACATCAACAGCCACAGTGATAGTGTGCATAATATGAAACCAAATAATGAAATTCCTATCATCAGCCATTTAGCAAGTTTTTGATATTTCAATAATGAAACTCCATCTGGAACAACTGAAATAAAAATATAATATATGATGCAATATGTATTCAACAATTTAAGTGAGACATTCTATAGAAATTGATGGATGACTATGAGTAACACTAATTGAGATATTTTTGTCCCATGTCTATGAATACTTGACACTTTTGTTTTGACGTTTTTTGTATAACTAGAGACATGATGAAAAAACGAATGTGGATGAGACAATGAGGTAGGTATAAAAATCATTGCTGCATATACAGGACGCACCAAAAAAAATCTAGAGAGGCAGGGTCATTTTGTAAAATGGAATGTCGTATTTTATCACATTTTTTTGGAGCATTTCTGGGACCTCCATTCATCCCTTTAATATCATAGACTATATTTCGATCATATCGGAGTTCCAAATAAAAAAAATCGTTCACAGCCACCCTGTCTAATTTGAGGACATGAAAATTCTTCAGAAATGTCTTGCATCTGCCCATCAAATGTAATGATTATGCTGCCTTGACGACAGTGAGTTTTTCGGTAGACATGATGACAGATGACATTATTTCGACAAAAAAAAATCATAACTTTGATATGATCTAGATTTAGTCAATGATATCATAGGGGTATTAGGAGGTCAAAGGGTGCATCAGAAAATGTGCTAATATGCCTTCATTGGCATATTATTATTCCATTAAAATAAATGCCTCCGACTGTCTGGATTTTTCTCGGTGTGGCAATCATTTCTAGATATGGGCCTTGTTGTCTCATTGAACATTCGTACTTGAATCATGTTTATAGTTATCATTGAACTCGAGCAATCGGACTCCGACATACTATTGTCCCACCCTGTATATTCAAATCAATTTATTGATGCATGAAAATATATACTTGAGACAAAAATTGAATTACCTACCATGTCCTGATTTGTTGAGCACTATCATCCTACTGTGCCTCAAGCTATTCCTCGTTGGAGCATGCTTTCCAGAGAAATCTTGTAGAGTTATATTCTGTGGGACTGTGGTATTAAGGCAATGCGTTTGAGAAGGACTATTGACAAATCTACATTCTGGTGTATTATTATTCGAGGCAGTGGAATTCCTGTTTTCGGAAGAGTTGCTGTTGTCGTAGGAGCTGATTGGTCGGGTCGGAGATTCGTCTTCGAATTGATCTTGGTTATTTGGAATGAGTTCAATTTTGGTGTCGATGCCGGTTTTTGATTCGCTTGAAGAGAACTTTTCCATGTTGTATGATCAGATCGATCAGAATTTGAATGAGGATGGTAGGTACCTCTACTTGTATTCCTGAAATGAATATAATAACACTTGAAGGACCAATAGGGTATGTATGATTTTTGCCTTAAATTTTGATTTGTTAATTGTATCATTTCCATGTATTTCATGAACAGTCATAGATATAGGTATATTGTCATTCAGTCGAATTTAGTGGAACGAATACCTACCTACTCATTCGAATTTGACAAGACTAAGGAAAATCACAATATTATTTCTGAATCACAATGTCATTATTACCCAATTTTCAACAGTAATGGCTATCATTATCTGTCGAATAACTCAACAGTTGTAGATGACATTTATTATTGATAGGTAGCGGCATTCGATTTCTCACTTCCTCAGGTAATTATTTTTCCAAACTTGATCAGTGCCATTGAAAAATATATAATCGATAATTTGTCTGAAGGTTTCAGAATTACTGAAATCACGTCGTGGCGGGATATTGTTTTTCCTAATGCAATCTGAAGGACATCTATATGAGTATGAGGGCGGCTAATGTCGAAATGATTTTTTACGTAGGTATTCCAAGATAATTTCATGAAGTTGTGCCTTCGAGAGCACACAATTATTTCTTCAACAAAGTATAATACAGGCTGCATGATTCACGGTGGATGGCAAATTAGACGTTTCTGGTGAACCAGAATATTTGAAGGTGAGCATATTCGGGCAGTCTCTACCCAACTAAAATGTTTTCGGAAATGCGGTGTTGCCATTTCTATTAGAAAGTAGTAGCAACTTTTTTTTAATGGAACCCCCTGTATATTATACCATCTCCAGAATCTTCAACAATTTTTTAACACCTTTTTCTTGATATCTCCCTACAGCTATCTGTTTTCGAAATGAAAATCAATTTGAATTTTTTTGCTGAAGAATCATGCCTTCTAAAAATGCTGATATATTTTTGTTAAGAAGTACTATGATATCGAAATTTGGTTTGGATTAGGTGATACTTGGAGGCTCTTCACACTTCAACCTAATCCCCTTCACATCAATACAGGGTGGTGAGAAAGAAGAAGTGACTGAAAATTGATTATTTCAAATGGAACACCACAGAAAATTGCTGAAATTTGCTTTCTTTCTATGTCTATCATACATATTCCTAAATAGTCAAGTTTCCGACTTATGAGCATTTATTTGTTAACATGTCCCTTCAAAACGGTATCCCTATTCGGTATTCAAGGCAGACCATGATGATTACTATTCAACAGTAACGTTGTGACATTCTTATAAATATCAAACATTTTCGTCACTTGAGAAGTTGCAAACACCTTCAAAAGTGATGAAATTGTAGTATAGTTAATTGTTTCTTCTGTGATTATAATCACTTGGTATATATGTATAGATGACCATAGCTAGACAACTGGAAACATAAATAAATCAATCAACTCAAACATTGTTCTCTATAAAATAATATAGAGTTCCTATGAAGAACTGCTACAATTGGTGACCCCGACAAGCGAACATGACTGAAAGTGTGCCTTCTGCAGATGTAACCAACCAACATATCCTTAAATTTGCCTCAGTTGTGGTTCGCTCAAGTAGAGGCACATTTCAATAACAAGAGGATAACATCAGAACTGACAAAATTCAATTACGTAATCGCTTCACTCGATCCAGAGGTAGCTATATGGAAGTCAGAGATATAATAATTTCCACACCTGGAGAAACTCCTTACAAAAAACTGAAGGAAACGCTAATTGCAAGAATGTCACTATCCCAAGGAAAACGTTTCAAGTAATCATTAAGTAGTGAACACCTAGAAGACCAGATACCATCACAACTCCTGAGGAAATTGCAACAACTTATTGGAGATACCTACTCAAATCGATCAGTGTTTTCTTCGAGAAATATTTCTACAAAAACTTCCCAACAATATTCAAGTTATGTTCCCTTGTTATCTAGATAGCACTGTTACTATCGAATAATTGGCAAGTAAAGCTGATAGCAACATATGGAGACTGCAATAGATTGTTCCAACTTCACTCACAATTCTGTGACCGCAACACACAGCAATATAGCAGACATATCAGCTGAGTTGAAAGAGCTGTAGAATATGAGTCAAGATCGTTCAAAGTCCAAACCATTTTCATAATCTACGGATTCTAGAAAAAAAATGGACCTGTTTTATGCTGATATCATTCATCATTTGGCTCAAGAGCTGAAAAATGTATGGATCCTTGCTAGTCTAAGATCCGAACCTAAGTCGACCTTCACCGAGCTGATAATAGAACGAAATATATTTTATCATGAATTTAGTATATTAGAAAACATATTAAAAATGGGTTGCCTAAAAAAATCCTGGGCAGACTATTTTTAATTATTTTTCGAAAAATTATTTTTAATTAAATGTTGCAACATCAGGATAATAAAAAAATTGTGTCCTGACTGAAAGTATGAAACGTATAGAATGTGCAGCCGTTGGGGTGTCTACTATTTACCTGGGCGAACTACTGGGTTGTCAGGTAAACACAGGTATATCGATGCCAGTTACTTTCACTGGATTGGATAATTTAAAAAAATGTATATCATCATAAGCGCTGTTTAATTGCGAACACGTTGATATAGGGTTGTCTGCGAAAATTCCGGTCCGATTAGGGGTTTTTAATTTCAACGCGCGTGGAAGTGTGTGACAGAGAGATCCGAGGTAAGTATACTGTGTGATAATAAAGGACCCAACATCGCAGTCGCTTGTGATGGGACCCTGAATAGTAGAAAGTGCGCATGCTCGGTGTGTAAACTATGGAGGGTAGAGGTACCTCTACTACCCTTCATATAGTAAACAGTGCGTGTTATTTTGGAGCAACTGATATTTCAGTAGCAAAAAAAAATAATTAATTAATTACATAATAATTAAATATATTTAATATAATACTAATATATAAAAACAATATAATATCAGTATATTGCGTTATAACCATAATGATATATCTATAATCTATAATAGACAATAAAAATATCAAATACTTACTTTGAAATTTTTTTGCTCTTTCTGGAAATAGAAACAAAGTGGACCGCCAAAAATTTAAATTAAGAAATAACAAAAAAGATAGACTAGACATCTTGTATTACGATTTGAAATTTTATTAAAAAACAGTATAAATACAAAAATAATATTAATGAAAAATAAATTCTAATAAATATTTTCTATTCAATATCTGATTCATCAGAAGTATCATTTTAACTCTCGAATTCGTCTGATTCATTAGATTCTTCCTCATTTGCTTCCATTTCGACAATGTCCTGGATTTTCAAAGGAGTTTGATCTCCGATAAAACCTGTTGGTTTTAAGAAATCATCAAAATGCCAACCATAGTTTTCAGGATTTGACTTCGCACACTTTCTACTATTCAGGGTCCCATCACAAGCGACTGCGATGTTGGGTCCTTTATTATCACACAGTATACTTACCTCGGATCTCTCTGTCACACACTTCCACGCGCGTTGAAATTAAAAACCCCTAATCGGACCGGAATTTTCGCAGACAACCCTATATCAACGTGTTCACAATTAAACAGCGCTTATGATGATATACATTTTTTTAAATTATCCAATCCAGTGAAAGTAACTGGCATCGATATACCTGTGTTTACCTGACAACCCAGTAGTTCGCCCAGGTAAATAGTAGACACCCCAACGGCTGCACATTCTATACGTTTCATACTTTCAGTCAGGACACAATTTTTTTATTATCCTGATGTTGCAACATTTAATTAAAAATAATTTTTCGAAAAATAATTAAAAATAGTCTGCCCAGGATTTTTTTAGGCAACCCATTTTTAATATGTTTTCTAATATACTAAATTCATGATAAAATATATTTCGTTCTATTATCAGCTCGGTGAAGGTCGACTTAGGTTCGGATCTTCTACTATGCTGTGAGTAGGAAAACTTCAAGTTGCAACATCAGTGACGGCGAATGCTGCTATGATAATAGCCGATTATTTTTCGTCAGGGACAATAGAACTTGAATTCAATTTTTGGTCGACACGAGAGCTCAAGTAAGCTTATTACCATTCTGCAAATTCAAACAAAAAAATGAAAGTTCTCGTTATTTCTTATCTGCTGCTTATAATGCAAACATCAGGACCTTCGACGATCATGAAATGTTGTTAGATTTTGGTTTGAAAAATATAAGTTTTCTTGGAAATTCGTCATAGCTGATGTTAAACATTGTATTATGGGAGCAGATTCATTACGGTTCAATTTATTAGTCGATATGAAAAAGAACAGACTCTTAGATGCAGTAACATTTCATAGCGTTCTTGGCGAATTGTCATCGCTCACATCTGATGCAGTTATTTCAGTTATTACCAAAGAACATAATGAGTTTACTAATTTGTTACAGACATATTCTGCACTTATTCAACCCTTTCGGAAAGATCTTCCTATCCAACATAATAATGTGACACATTTCAATAAAACTACAGGTTCTCCTGTCATTTCTCGTGTTAGACGTCTAGCGCCAGAGAAATACAAGATAGCTGAACAAGAATTTGATTATCTACTAGATACTGGCATTATCAGACCATCGTCTGATCATACAGCTCCGAAGAAGGTTCCAGGTAAATGGCGTGCTTGTGGTGATTATCGAGCACTAAATAATATCGCGGTTCCCGATAAGTATCCATATCCATAGGATATGAAGAAAGTTCAATGGAATGTATCCGAATCTAACGCAAATTATGAACCCCAAGAGATTCATAACGATTTCAATATGTTTGGAACAACTTATAACTAATATATTGATATAGATAATTATAAGAAAGTAAAATAATTCTGTGGTATATTTCAAATTATATTCAAACGCTGGCCGTTCACTTCCAAGCTCTTCAAAATCTACGTCTGTTGACTGCTTTCGTCATGGCAGATCTGATTTCATATGGATCCATATAAGTATCTTCAAATGTTTGGGCAGAGATGAGTTACCCACAGGTTTGGGTAATCCTTTATAATAATTCGTCTCTCGTATGCACCAGGTGCTTTGTAAACTTTTTCTCTAAACATTCTCC